AAGGTGTTTTTCGTAGGCACTCCTGACTCCAAGTTGTGCAGTGGGAGTCTGCAAATAAAACTTTGCTACATTCCGTGTTCTTTAGTTTCATCTCTTTGATGATTTTTACAGGACATGCAGTACGCCTAGTGACACAGAAGGCTTAACGTTAGAAAACAAGGACGTTTTGTAGAAGTTTAATTAAGATTTCAGTATTGTTTATATACTCTAATATTTGGTGACATAAAAGTGCTCCGTAAATAGTTTATGCATAGTGTTAATTTATTTTATGTTTCGCTATAGTTTTAGTTTATTCTTAAGTATTTTATTTTTATTTTATTTTTAAATTTATGTTTAATTAATTAATTTTGCTTATTTTATTTTAGCTTTTAAGTTAGTTTATTTAGGCTTTTGTTTATTTTTAATTCACTTTTAGATTTTTTAAACACATGCAGTTGCTTTTGGAGTTAAAACCCTTACTAGTTTAACGTACCTTAGTTTGTTTAGTTTGGTTTATTTAAATTTATTTCAGTTTTTAGTTTAGTTTTTAGATAACTACTATGTTTTGTTAGGTTAAGTTAAGTCTATGGTTTTTTAACTATATGTAGGTTTCTTTAGTTAGTTTCCTTTAGTTTTTCTTTAGTGCTAAGTCAATTTTTTATTTCAATCAGTATCCGTATTTATTAGTGACCAGCAGTTTTTATGTGAAATTTTACTTCATTCTATTTTAATCTATGAAATTCGCTGTTAATTGCGTTCTTCCGCAAGTTTGAGGAGTTCCCGATATTTGTGTACTTGTAATTTTACTTATGGGGCGCTTTTTGTTGCCACACGTCAGATTATTGAAATGACTTTTTCTATTTTTTCATTTTTAAACGCTCTGCTTTTTCCCTTATTTTTCCTTGCTCTGATATGTCCCACCCATTTAACCCTCATTATTACCTTTTCCGTATTTAAAAAGGATGGGGATTTGCGTGCTGCACTGGAAATTAAAGTAAACTTCTAACCGATGTTTTTAAATTAGCACTATTTGGAATTCGGAACGAGGTTATCTTAAAATTACTTTCGTCTTCTGTCACAATCATCAATATGATTGGAAATCTGGTCGACAAATTCAGAAGTTTCTTGTAAAAATTAGAAAGTGTTTCTTCAAAAGGATTTTAAAGTCGCAAGCAAACGAACGGATCTACCGTTTCTTACATGCACGCGGGCAGTCAGACTTTCAGGCCCGGCTCGAAAACATACAGGGAAAGAAATCAAACGGAAATTTCGGCGGCAAGATTTTTATTTAGGAGATAGTACGAGGTAAAACTACGGAGATTTCACGTTGACCGTGGCCTGCTATATGTTTTCATCTACACGGCCGCGCAGATTTAGGTTTGAACTTCACCCAAGGTTTCAGCTCCTTGCTTGTATCTGTCCAGTAATCTCATGAATTCGTGGGAATACGCTGAACCCTTTCCCTTGATGCCAGTACTCTACATAAATTTCATTTTGAGACAGCCGCAAGATCAGGCCTAACAACAAACACTTTTGTTCCTGCTAAGGGCACCTAGAATGTGCTTATTTGGAGCTCTTTCAAAATCAGAATGCTCCATTCTCATTTGGCGGAAATGACCTAAAATACGGGCGAAAAAATACACTAGCTATGAATTCAAATGTGCTGACTGACCTCCAGCACGATAGACAATTTGCATTTTCTTTTAATTAAACTATGACATTTGGAATTTCATCATAGCGAAGAGCGCAGCATTATGGTTACTTAAAATGCTCAATGCTTCTTAATACTCACGCTTCCATGGATTTGTCAAAGTCCCTTATGCTTTCCAAGATTCTTCACTGACCTTATCGTTTTTAATTCTTTGCCCAAAAAGGTGACATGGAAGAACTTCTGACTGACCTACTTATTGAGGAGAACTTAGAATTCATCGATCTTCTTTTGAACTTCAACCTCAGTATGGAGCGCTATCTAACAATTGAGGCTTTACAGAAGCTGTACAGAAACAATTCCAACAATGACTTGCTTTACCTGTGTCTTAAATCT